CAAAACTCCATGTATTAAGCTTCTGCACATTTTCATAATTATTTAAATGAGTTATTGGTATACAACAGATTGCAAAAATAATTTCTTTGATGGGACTCAAGGTAATGGGCTTAAATAAGAGCAGTGCCAAGCATTCTCTACGACAGCTAGAGTAACTTCAGAAGCTTTTGTAGACACTTATTTCTCTTCTTATGTCATTTAAGCTGCTTTTTCTGTTGAACAGCGTGTGAATCAAACATTTAGAGAGCATTATCAATACATAGTTTGTTTTATTTCAGTGCCGAGGGTTACTACTTACTAGAGAGGCATTTTATGAATTATGATTCTGTCTGTTTCTTAATATACTCGGGTGTCTACAGTACGATCAGTACAATTATTTGGTTAAATGCGCAGAGATATCTTGAGCAGATTTTGATTTGATCTTTGAAACTGGATAACACTGACTGGTTTTTGTTGTTAGCTGATGATGGCTTTAGGTTGTTTTTTACTGTGGCCGATTGCTGGCTGATAATATATTAACGTTCTTGTTTGCTTAGCACAGGTGTGTAAGAGTCATCCAAATGCTGCAATCTTGCTGCGAGCAATGCGAATATAAGTCGACACATTGTGCATCAGTATCTGGCCTTCTAAAGCAAATAAACAAGCAAACCTTTGGAACATATTCAGGCCAAAGACATGAATTTTCATCTCTCAAATTTTTGGGATAAAAAATATGTCAACCCTGATGTGTATTAAGCATCTGGGACTTGAATGATTTAACAGCCTTCCAAAATGTAGGAGTACTTCACAGAGAAGATGATGGCAATTTTTTGTTCTTTTTATTTGGTGGGTTCCCACGTTAGGTTATGCAAAGTTTTGTAATAAATAAATGGGGAAAATTGCGGCCGTGGTCCCAAACCTTTCATTTTGTTGTAGATTACACCCAAACCTTTTATTTTTGCGACAGAAGTCCCAAACCTTTATATGCAGTTGCAGCGTTGGTCCCAAGCCTTTAATTCCGTCCATAAAACC